CTAGAGGTGAAAAATGGCTGACGAAAACGAAATGAATGCACATGAAAACACGAAATGAAATTTTTACTTAAAGTTTGGGTTGTTATATTTATGATTGAACTAGATAGATATCGCTTAAATATGATAGTAAGACAAACTCGGGCGTGAAGGATACACATGGTGTTCTGATTATTGATGCAAACAAGTCGAGCCGAGTAGAGCATTGGCCTTATCGAGCAGGATTGAATTTTTTTTTTTGAGCTGCTCGAGCTCGACTCGATAAAAAAATACAAGACCTCGAGCTTGGCTCGAGCTCGGCTCGAGTTCGGTTCGATTTTTTCAAGAAATTTTGTAAAATAACCATTAAGTACATATATACACAAGGGGTATTTTAGTAATTTCATATATTTCGAGCTGCTCGCGAGCCGCTCGACAATGCAAAATATGAGCTCGGGTTCCACTCAAGTTCGTGCTTGAGCCGCTCGAACTCGACTCGAGTTCGGTCAAACTCGAGCTCGAGTCGAGCTTTGACTCGAGTGCTCGCGAGCGGCTCGACTCGTTTGCAGCCCTAATTCTGATGCTAAAGGCAAGAGAACTTGGTTTTGGTGTATGATAAAATGAGAAATTCATATATACATATTTTGATATCCAATATATCTAGAATAATTATTGAGATTAGGTAACATAATATAATAAACTAGTGCGTGGCCCGTGCGATGCACGCTAAAACAATATTACGATTGTATTATAAATTAAATATATAAATAACATTACTCATGATTTATCCATTGTTTTTAAATTAAACCAGGTTGGACACAGTCTGACCGGATGGACCGAGAACCGGTTTATAAGCAGTCTAGTTCGCTTGAATAAAATATTTGCTCTCGAATCCGTTAACACCAGTTGGACTGGTAGGATCTATACGATTTTTTTAAATAAATTTTGTTATATTCAAAATTATTTTAAATAAAATTACATATTTAAATAAAATATAAATTTATAAATTATTTATCAATTAGTAAACATTTGAATTTATAAATTATTTAGATATCCAAATAATACATTTTAATAAATACAAGTAGTCATGGGCAAGAAAAGGCCACATGGGAAAGAGAAGAGGAGATTCGTTCCAAGTACCCGTCTTTCCTATCCAGTGGTATGTAATAAATATTTTCGAGGACGAAAATATTCTAAGGGGGTTAGAGTGTAATGACCCGTAATTATTTTGCCCAAACTTTTGAATTTATTATTTATTAATTATTAATTTAATTCTTCTTTTCAAGTATTTTAAGAAGGTCAAATTATGGACCAAGATTTGATTTCAAATTTATATCATACCATAGTTATGTATCTTTCAAAAATCTTATTGATTTCACCTTCCTAAATTGGCCCCAATAACTTAGTATAAATACCCTACACCCTAAGACTCTTTTTCACAAAACTCATCCTAGAGGTAAATATTTTTCCTCATCTTCTTCCTTTCTCCCTTTCTTTATTTCTTTCTTTCCTTCTTTCTTTCTTTATGTTTATCATTCTTCTTCGATACCGTCCCCGACCATGCGCCGTTATTCTGCCACCGCCGGATCGCCCTTGTCGGATCCATGTGCGTGTGTGTCAATGGGAACGGTGACAAACAAGTTGAATGAGGGTTATTGTTTTATTTTGTTTATTTATTTATTATCATTCTCGGCAATTAAGTGTGAGATTATGAGTTGACGTTTATCATCCAGCCCTATTTTTCTCTCTTCTCAAAATCTCCGTCGCTAAGAGTCTCCTCCCTTAAATCGCCGACAGCCTCTTCTCAGCGGGGAGTTCCGCTCGGCCTCGACAAGGTCGCCGCAGGTCTGGGCCCCCGGCCTCCCGTTGAGATTGGAATCTTGCGGCCGATTAGGGCTTCGCTGGACTGCCTTGCTCCGACGGATCTCCGAGGGCACGAGGATCTCCGATTTACGACGGCGGGGCTGGGCGGCATATTCCAACTTCTGCCGGTCGGATGTTGGAGTTGAGGTGAGGTCCCTTTCCCATCTCGGTTGTCTGGCTTTCCTGGTGTTGGTTTGTTAGGCCTGCTGGTAGAGGTCGGTCGTCACTTTTGGGGCCCGATAGTTCAGTCAGTGTAGTTGTCTTCGGCTTAATCGGACTCTGTCCAGTGTGCACCTCCGGTATCCTCTGTACCTGAGTGGGCGGATGGCTACCATGGTCGGGTTTCACCTCTTTAGGTGCCGGTTGTGGGCTCTAGTCGTTTTGCTTAGCTGGCTCGTAGAGGTATTGTTTGCCGTGTGGTTCTGTGGTTGGAGTATGGCTATGGTGGCTTCTGTGCTTTTGTGGAAGCTGTCGGAGCCGTGACGCCGTATTGCCTTTTTCTCCTCTGTGCCCTGGTGCTGGGTCAGGGGAGGGCCGCTGTTTCTGTTTTTTGGCTAGTGGTGTTAGTCGTGGCAGAACGACGGTGGTGTGGAGGGTGTTTTGGTTGTTCCGGTGGCTGGGGTGGGCTGCGCTGTTGGTGTTGGCTGTTGGGTCTGGGTGTCGGTTGTTTCCGTGCTACTGGTAGTTGGGGTGTGGGTTTTGGGACTGACCTCCGACGACTGGCTCGTGGGTGACTACCTGGGGCTCGGCAGTTTCAGATCTTGTTAGGCCTTCCGCAGTTTCAGATCTCAGGGCTCGGCTCGGATTGCTTTCTCTTTGGGTAGGAGCTCTCGGTGTAGCTTATTCCTATTGTGGAGGAGGGCTCATAGTGTAGATGTTTCGTTTTTCTTTTTAGGATTGTTGTTTGGTTGTTTTGTGTTGTTAGGTTTAGTGTTTTTGGTTTGGGCCGTTGGCCTCAGTTAACCTGAGTGTGACTTTATTATCCTTTTGGGACTGTACAATCAGACATTACCTTGTTGGGGCCGTTTTTAGTGGTTTTTGTGTGTTCCCGAGTATTACCCTGTTGGGGTCGGGCTCTAAGCGGTCTTTTGACATGTCCTCTCATTTTATGCAGCTGTTGGCTGGTTGTATTCAGTCTTTGGCTGTTTGTATTCAGCTTGTGGCTGTTCTTTTGCACATTTGTGCGCTTTTATATAAAATCTCTATCGTTTCGAGAAAAAAAAAAAGTGTGAGATTATGGAGTTCAATCTAGCAATTTTTTAAGATTTCATTTAGTTCTCCATTCCACATAGCCGATTGGGCATGAGATTAATCGTTAAAAGATATGTATCTCACGCACACACAAATCCACTTGATTTTCTTGGTTATTTACTTATTTATTTATTTTATTGCTATCAATTTTCTATTACATATACAAATGTATATATATTAAACAAATTACATATACATACATATATATATATATATATATAGGGATTGGTTCCAATGCATCCCATTATTTAAAGTGAGGACGTGAGACTCATTCCTAGCCACAAGATTTAGATCTTGATTTAAATAATAATTCTTTATTTTTATTATTTATTCTTTATTTTTAATTATTTAAATATTGTTATGACCATTGACCGTTGACTCCGGCGTTGACCGTTGACTTCCGGTGTTGACTTCCGGCGAAAATCGTTGACTTCCGGCGTTAACCGTTGACTTCTGGCGTTGACCGTTGACTCCGGCGTTGACTTCCGACGTTGACCGTTGACCATTTGTCTTTTGTTATGTTATTTCTTTCTTGCTAGGTTAGTTGTGTTTTGTTGCTAGGTTAGTTGTTTGTTGTTGCTAGGTTAGTTATTTGTAGCTGCTAGGTTAGTTGAGTTTTGTTGCTAGGTTAGTTGTCTTTTGTTGCTAGGTTATTTCTTTCTCGCTGCTAGGTTAATTGTCTTTTGTTGCTAGGTTATTTCTTTCTTGCTGCTAGGTTAATTGTCTTTTGCTGCTAGGTTAGTTGTGTTTTGTTGCTAGGTTAGTTGTCTTTGTTGCTAGTTTAGTTGTTCTTTCTTGCTAGTTTAGTTGTTCTTTCTTGCTGCTAGGTTAGTTGTGTTTTGTTGCTAGCTTAGTTGTGTTTTGTTGCTAGCTTAGTTGTCTAATGCTGCTAAGTTAGTTGTGTTTTGTTGATAGGTTAGTTGTCTTTGTTGCTAGTTTAGTTGTTCTTTCTTGCTAGTTTAGTTGTTCTTTCTTGCTGCTAGGTTAGTTGTGTTTTGTTGCTAGGTTAGTTGTCTAATGCTGCTAAGTTAGTTGTCTGATGTTGCTAGGTTAGTTGTCTGATGTTGCTAAGTTAGTTGTATTTTTGAACCTGGTACCTCATGGAAGCAAGACAAGCAATGCAACCACTACACCACTCAAGGTTGAGTGTTTTTTGTTGCTAGGTTATTTATTTCAATGCAACGGGTCAACGCCGGAAGTCAATGTCAGAAGTCAACGGTCAACGCCGGAGTCAACTAATAATTATTTTATTATTTAATTAATATATATTTTAATTGATTTTGATCTAGAGAAAATGAGTGACTAAGATTGAGTCTCACGTACTCATTTTAAGGAGTGGTCTCATTGGATCCATCCCCTATATATATATATATATATATATATATATATATATATATATATATATATAAGGATTAGTTCCAATGCCTCCGCTTATTTAAAGTGTGGACGTAAGACTCATTCTTAGCCACAAGATTTAGATCTTGATTTAAAAAACAATTCTTTATTTTTATTATTTAATTCTTTATTTTTAATTATTTAAATATTATTATAACCATTGACCGTTGACTCCGGCGTTGACTATTGACTTCCGACGAGAATCGTTGACTTTCGGCGTTGACCATTGACTTCCGGCGTTGACCGGATGACCTTAGTATGCATCATGTATAAAAGAATAATTAAAGACAACTAACCTTGCAACTAAAGACAACCAACCTTGCAACTACAGACAACTAACTGAATACAACTAAACATTGCAAATAAAAACAATTAACCCTACAACAAGATAGAACTAACTTTGCAACTACAGAAAACTAACCTTGCAACTAGAGAAAACTAACCTTGCAACTAGACAGAACTAACTTTGCAACTAGACATAACTAACCTTGCAACCAAAGACAACTAAC